ACCAATTAAACTTCAGATTTTAATTCAAATTCAAAGTCAATAATTAATTTTAATCATATATTTCATGAGTTCCGCAACTTTTCAATCACATATTTTATCAACTTTTATTAAAATTTACTAAAACTCTGATTTTAATCCCCACCAAACAGTGGAGAAAATACCGGAAGCTCACTTACACGAGCAAATTGGAATTATATGTATGTATGTATATAGATACAGATATATAATATATTACTCCTCAGTATCTTGAGGAAAACCTTCTCTACCGTTATAGACACAGATTGGACACAAGAAAAACAAATCATTTTGGGGTATCTTTCTCTCTTAATTGAGTTGAGTTCTTGTCTTCTTTCCATTGAATATTCATACATTTTCCGTATCTGCTGCTACTAATTGAACTTTGTGTGATTTCTTGATGAATCATGTATGTTTTCTTACAGTTGGATGGCAATTCTCAGCATCGACAATGACTTTTAGCCCTCTTGACGGAAATTCTTCAATGCCTTCATAATTCATGAGGATGCCTTCATTGTCATTGTTGCTTCAGTGATTCATCCACTTACATCGTTGTTTTTGAAATTGGATGGGATAATTTAAGCCCCTCATTGGTCCGAATTAAAATCTGATTTTAATTCAAGTCAAAGTCAAACAATCAATATTAGTCACATCTTTCATGGGTTCCACAACTTTTCAACCACACATTTCAAAAATTTCTATCATAATCTACTAAAAATCTAATTTTAATCCCCCACCAAACACCCTATAAGTTTGTAATTAAGCCCATGTTGAAGTAAATTAAAATCAAACTTTCAGTCGATTTTGATAAAAGTTAATAAAATATACGGTTGAAAAGTTGTGAATCCCATAAAATATATTGTTAAAATTAATTGTCGATTTTGACCTGAAATTTTTAGTAGTTTAAAATCTATACCAAACGGTGGTTAAAGCGCAATCGGTAAATATGTTTTTTTGCTGCAACTTTTACATTCTTGTTTTTAGTTCTAGAATTCCATAATTTGGTAACCTGGGAATCCCATGAACTTAATATAGTGCTACGGGATTAACAAATAGTGTAAGTTACAATTTTAGGGCGTGTTCGATAGAGATTAAAATCGGATTAAAATTGAAAAATTAACCGTTATTGTTGACTTTTATTAGACGAGTAGGATCCAATAACGACTATATTTTCAATTTTAATTGGATTTTAAACTAAGTCAAACATGCTCTTAATAAATTGTAAATTCAAAAAATATATATATACAACCGTAAGCAAGCGAAAACTATTATTTAAAAAAAATTACATACACTGTAATCAGGAATAACACAATGTAAGTTACATTCAAAAATTACATACATGTAAAAGCTGAATTGCAAAATTTAACAGTGTTTAATATTTTTCAATTCACCCCATATTTTATCCATATTTGTGTAAATTGCTCATTTTACTTATGAGCTTAACCAAACATGACTATTCTCATCTCAGCAGCCCATTAAAACACATGATATTGATATGGGCCGTCCAAATTTAGAACTCAGGCCTAGTCCAAGTTAAAGAACAAAAGAACAAGCCAATTACTACATCGACCGAAAATATAAATAAGAAGAAATGAATTGAAAATGGTATTACACAAAAATTATTATAACAATAGGTATTTTTTACGATCTTTCAGAAGATCGACTAGGTCAATGAGCAAAAACCCGAACGAGTAATATAGTATGAGTGAGGCCATGCTCACAACTTCGAGCATTTACTCTTTTCTCTTCAATCCTGAAAAATTAACGTGGACAGTGGCGGACAGACGCGAGGGTCACTTTTTAGTTTTTATCTCACCTTCTATTATATTAAACTATTGTACGTGAGCATGCGCATAGGTTGAGGGGATGGGAACTATAGTACCTTATTATCCTCAAAAAGAAGATTGCACAAATTGGCGTAGGTAATAAAAAATGGTCCCCTCTTTTAACTCAAGAGGGAAAAGTGTATTCTTTTCTTCTTTTTTTATGTTTCATTAAAAGAAACAACGTACAGTTGAAAATATGTGTCTCCCTGTTTCCCAACTCCATAACTCTCTGTGCAAAGTTTTAATTGTACACGTGTCAACAACCCATTGCTCTGATTGAGATGATGATATTATTAACTCGTATTGTGATATGTATGTATTTTGCAAAGTATAAAATATGGGCATGTTTGGCAAAATAATTTGATTTTTTATAAGCTGGAATCCTATAAAATACGTGGATTAAAATTTATAAACCCGGCTTATACGTCAAATAAATTGGTGCCACTTGAACAAATTGTTTGATTTTTACAGTCTTGAGCTCTTTTTTCTCACGTTCTGTTTAATTAAAGTTTTCTTGCTACGTCAACGATCTTTATCTTCTCCAATGAATGGAGAGGATTAATTCTATTGATTTTTATGTGAGAAATGTTTGAAAAAAGAATAAGATAGCAAGGAGTGGTCACAATCAAGCAATTTCATGAAATCTTTGTTGAATAGGGAAAATCTCTCAAAGTGGGACATATCTCTCTCAAGTGTATGGCCAACTCTTTTTACAGACTGTTGCATGGAAGGAATGGCCAACGACAAAAGTATTCACAGACATCCATGTGTACGTATCAGGCGTGACCTTTTCAACAAAATAATTAATAGAAAATTGATAAATTGTTTGAGTCGGATTAAAATCTGATTTTAATTTAAGTCTAAGTCAAAGTCAAACAATCAATATTAACCACATCTTTCATGGATCTCACATCTTTTCAACTACACATTTCAAAAACTTCTATCACAATCCACTAAAAATCTAATTTTAATCCTCATCAAACACCCTATGTTACCATCTTTTTGGATTTGTGTTTTCAAAAGAAAGCACCTTTGGAAGTGTTTTTAAGCAAACCAAGCATTGATTTTATTAACAGATAATTAATTTTAATCATACATTTCATGAAATTCACAATTTTTTGACCACATATTTCATCAATTTTTATTAAAATATAATCTTTATCTAAATCAAACAGGGACATAGTAAGTGTATGTAGTCGGAAAAGAAAATCGCATCCCTTAGTATATCGAGTGCCCGTGACATGATAGTTCACGGAAGTTTCTCATCGTACTCGCGATGATATATCCCACGTAATCCAAACTTAGGATTTCAAAAAGATAATTCGACTAGGCGTATCTATGTCTAGTGTTCCAATCAATCAACAATTATAATAAGACTTGCTTAATATGATTACATGCGTAAGTTTCGATGAATTTTAATTGTCCCTCGAACCTACTAACATGTGTTTCCTCATCACTCATTGTCAACTTTGCTTTCTTTCTTACCTTGCATTTTTCCCTTCTCTCTACTCTGCAAATCAGCAGCTTTTTCTTTAAGCATCTAAACCCTATCCATTCGGCCCTATACATTGTTCAACTGTAACCCTACGCCACCCCAATATCTCCACTTCTTTTTTATAATTTGTTTTCCTTTTTCATAAATACAAAAAAGTTACTAATAATTTTGGACCATATAGATCCCCAACTTCAACTTATATGCAGCATCTGCATAACCCAAGTTTGTGTGTGCGTGTATTTGCCGACATATATCTAACTACTAATATCGAGGTACAGCACACGGTGAAAGATGGAAAATAATATGAACCTGTTCAGCGATCGAAGTAGGGAACATAATGATAGTTGCCATGCTTGGGAGATCTGGGATCTTGCCAACCGCTTCCGCCACCCACCACTCACCACCTCCTCCACCGTGCTAGTGGATGCACGTGCTTTTCATATGAACCATCAAGATAATACTGCAAATGATTCTTCATTGTCTCAGTCCGACTTCCATATAGACCCACATTTGACTTGCTTGAAGCTGGGCAAGAGGCACCACTTCGAGGATGTAACAGCGGGGTCTTCAATGACCAAGAAAGGCAAACCCAATAGTACATCTGGTGGTGGCGGGGGTTCTTCGGCGGCGGCGCCTCCAATTTTGCCGAGGTGTCAGGTGGAGGGATGCCAAGTGGTGCTAGTGAATGCCAAGGACTACCACAGAAGGCACAAGGTCTGTGAAATGCATGCCAAAGCTCCAAAAGTAGTGGTTCATGGCTTTGAACAACGTTTCTGCCAACAGTGTAGCAGGTAAAAGTACAACTATCCGCTGCTATCTACATGTATTGTATTGTTCATGTGCAAATGGAGTCGTTAGAGTTTTATATATTATAATAAAAAAAAGATAGAAATGTTAGAAAAAAATATGAAATACGAGTTTTCTAAATGTATTTTGATCATATGGAGTTGTTGCAGCAACTGATGAGTACGTAATCTCAAATTGATATGAACCTCTATAAATCTTGAGCGTTCTTTTGCGTATGCCGATATTTGATTGCTCTTGGTACAGAATTAAAAATTCTCAACACAAATGAATTATGAATAAGCAATGACTAAAATGTACATATATTTTGATAGGTTTCATGCAGTGTCAGAATTTGATGAATCAAAGAGAAGTTGCAGGAGGAGATTAGCAGGCCACAATCTCAGAAGAAGAAAGAACCCTCAAAGCCATTCTCTTGCTAGGAAACCTTATCAAGGTATAATAATAAATTAATACGATACCATAGACAACGTTATTTTTACTAGATAAAGTAATTTCATAGTCACACTAAAAGATTGAAGTGCTCGAACAAATACAAAGTTTTATACGAGGATTTTGGTAAAGAAATTGTGTGGTTTTAATTTGTTATTGATCATAAAGAAATAAGCTTTCTGAATCTAAGAATGCATAAAGAAAGTAATTTGCTTTGTGGGATTAGCTTGCCTTACAGTTTACACTCCATTTCATTTGTTCAGTTGTATATTATTATAGAATAATGCTATCTGGCACGAGTTTAAGCGATCACACTCAATATAAATAATAAAGTGCCTAACTTTGTGAGATGACACGAAACATGATGAGAGCACACGTCATTCATAGTTATGATTACAGCGGTAGATTTAGGGTATAAGCTACCAAATTAAGTTGCAAAATCCAATCCATACCAAACGTGCTGGACATAGGTCTTGTCCGATGCTGATTAGCGATTTATCTCTAACGTTTGGTCATCCTAGTGTTTTTATCTAGGACTTTAACACGAAAGAAATTATTCTCGTAGGCATCAAAGAGATGGCGGGTAGATATCCATATTCGCCAACAAACGGGGAGTGTGCTCTCTCTCTTCTGTCATCAAAATACAACAGCTTGATTCCATATACAGACCCTCCATCCAGATGCACCACTGCCCTACATGATTTGATTGTAGAAAACCGTGCAGCCATCTTAGGCACACAGCTCAACTTGCACCAGATGAAGATTGCAGACCCGACCCAGCAGGGATCCGTTAGGTTTCTAAACAACCAGAAAGTACCCGGTGTCGACTTGACATTGGACCTCATGCAGGCCGCTCCGATTTCAGAATTCGGGTTGCTGTTTATGCACGATAAATCTGGAGAAGAATGTCGTTCTGAATCGTGGAAAGTTCCTTTGGGATATTGATTATGTAAGACTTCCAAACATTCTTTAATATATATTTTATGAATATGTTGAAAAAAAATTAAAATATTCTGTATTGTACTTGTGATTTATTAAATTAATATTGTAAAACAAACGTGTCTTGATTATTCATGTGTGCATCTATTTATCTGAATAATGTAAAAATCATTTGAATTCTTGAATAATGTCACATTTGTTGTATAAATATATATTAGAATTTACTTTACATGGTATCGAAACAGTTCAAACTATTGCGAGTATTTTCCCTGTGATTCCTTTTCATTGCTAACGATGCCGCAACCAGGCACCAGCACCACCATTGTGAGACCCTTTGTTCATATTAATACTGCCACTCTCAAGTATATTTAGATATTTCTAACGTTGAAAACTGCTTGTGTAACTATAATAAAACTATCGATCCAAATATTCAATCGAGGGCCAACTTATCCATAAGCGTAGAGCAACTGGCTACTACACTAAGCACAAGTTGGGAGCCAATTAAGTGCAATTTTTTCGGAATTTAAACTGTTATTCTACGAAGATCAATTATTGAAGTTGGAGGTGAACATCGGTCACATTGATCTTGAATGCAACTACTCAGATTTTTCAAACTTCCGCACGTGGCAACTGATGAGAACACAGAGGTTTTGCCTTATGTGGGGGCTGATACATAGCAATATCACGTGCGCAGTGCGTGATAAAAAATGTATATTCTCGTGAATAGAAACAATTCAATCAATGAAGTCGTGAAGAATAAAATATAAATGTAGTCTCCATGCAAGAGACGACTTAAAAATCAGAGTAGGGTGGATAAAACTCTCGAACCGAATCGAACACGAATCGAAGCGAGCTGTTCTTAATAAGTTAAATACTCGAACGAGTATCTGAATCGAGAACCGAACATTAGTTCTCGATTCTAGACTAAGAATCGAAAAATCGAATAAGAATTGAATCTAAATAATTTTTTATATTGAATTAATTAAATTTTTTATAATTTTTTAAACAAGTTAGAAAATTAACTAATTTAGTTGAACAATTTTTAATTTATTTGTATTTATTAATTGTACTTTTCTATANTAATTAAACAAACCAGCCCAATCCAACCAAATTAATTTTTTGTTAGCCCAACATTTGGACATTATCATTCCCCTTTCTATTCTAATTTCATTTGGTAAGCAGCAGTACACCCACTCTCGTATAAACCCAATTCTTTATGCATGTTGCTTGAAGCAAATGAATTATTGATACGGATCACCGATATTTTAATATTAGTATCTACTTTTTGGTATTTGTATACATTGAATTAGTCTTATTAGAAAGTTTTCTTTTTATATATTTTTAAATTTGGTTACGTTAATTTGTAAAAGTTACGAATGAAAATGTTATTAGTTGTATTTTTGTAGTGTAACTGTAAATGTTAAAAAATTTAATTATGGTACCCTGAACAGTTCTATAATTATATTTGGACTCGACGATTCCATTTATTAAATACTCGAAAATTTTAATTCGATTCGATTCTCTTCAACCGGACCATGTTTAGTCCTAGATAAGAGAACAAAACTTACGAGTACTATCAAAAAGCTCAATACTTAAATTGACGTAAAATTTTACTCCACATGTACCGTGAGATGATTGTTCAATTGAACTTTTGCATCTATGATATGATGATGTTCTAAAATTTTATACTCAAAATGTTGGAAAGTAATTATCTTCAAACTGTCAAAATATGAAATTCATTACTACCAAACTGATTTTACTGCCATCTTTTTCAGAGCAATGGAAAAGTTACTGCAGATTCTCGGTCAAAATCCTATTTCTTTTACCTCAATTAAGTAACTGCATTCCCTCCAGAAAATATCAGAGTAACAGACAAAAGTAAATAATGCAAAGACTAACTAAAAATAGCAACACGCTGCATGTGGGTGCCTGTAAAACTAAACCTTGTAACAAAATGGAAACAAGTGAATGCCCCATGTAAAAATCCAACTACAGTAGAGTGTCGAGCATAAAATTTGAGAATAAAATTCCCACAGGAATATAAAGATACTTATAGAAATTTATATATATGTTACATACGATAATGATTCAAGTGTAAATCGAATTCATCTGTTTTTAGAGGAAATTAAGATTGAAATGCAAATAATCCAGACTAAAATATGTCAAATTCATCTTCTACTAGGTCTAGGTAATCTGCGACACATAAGATCAGATCTTGAATCAACCAACCCGTTTCAGTAAAAAATTGTGCTTGTTGAAGAACTCGTTGTACCCTGATATGATCTTTGGCTAAAATCCAGTGAAATTCTTGGCGGTGAAGTCGCAGCCGTGAGCAATGAAGAGTGAGTCCCGGAATCTGGTGGAGACCCTGAAATCAAATCAAATCAAATCAAACGCAGTCCAGTTTTTTATTTTCTTTTGGTTGTCCTTGAGCTGAATTTATTCAGAGAGTAAGCTTACTTGTGAGGTTCTCAGAGGAAGAATTTCCGGCAGTACTGTCGAGTAGAGACTTGTTGCTCGGTTCTTGATTTGGTTGCTGGGATTTTCGCCTTCGCCGGTTATGGTCAGCTAATCTTTTCCGGCAACTCCTCTTCCCGTTGTCGAATTCCGAAAGAAGATGAAATCTGATTATGAGAAAATTATTCAGAAAACTTCATAAGGAAATCATAAAGAATTTGATGTGGGATGCTATAAAAATTCATTAAAAGATTGTTGAGTAGATAAAAAAAAGCAGTACATTTACTATAAGAAGCAAAAACCAACGGTACGTTAAAACGTAACTGAGAGCAAAATCATGAGGAAGCATAAATCTACGGACCAAAATGCCATTGGGATCAACCCATGTACCATCCAACCCAATCATGAGCTTGTTAACACTCCAAAAGGGAAGTTTATTCAGTCAATATTCACCATTAACACTAGGTTACAATTAAAATAAAAGAAAAGAAAATATGGTGAAGAATGTACAACCTGCTGCATTGTTGACAGAATCGCTGAGTCAACCCGGCGGTGATGACTGTGGAGGCCTTGGAGTGGAACTCACACACCTTGTGGCGGCGGTGGTAGTGTTTGGCGTGGGTCAGGTCCGCGTGGCAGCCTTCAGCTTGGCATCTTGGGGAGTTGACTGAGCCGTGCTCCATTACCCTGGACCGGCGGTAGAGCCGGTTCACAAAATCGTCCTCGGAGGAAGAAAAATAAGTCCTCCCACCTAAATTAAGCCCAATCCTACTGTTGCTGGAGTTAAACTCGAACCCACCAACAACCGGCTCACTCTTGGGAACCATCATAAACCCAGTTGGACCACTTGGTTCAAGAGTGAGCAATGAGGCCTGTGGTGCATGAGGATTCGCATACGATGACCCAGAAGCGCCATAAGAGCGTGGGTCATAGAAATTAGTCAAATGGGTGTCAGTATTTGGGTGGTGAAACGGGTGGTGGTTATGGTAGTGGTGGTGGTTGTGAGAAGTGACGGTGGCGAAATCATTAGGGTTAACAAAAGTGTTGGCTTCCGTGAAGTTATGAGTGGCATATGGGTCAAACATCTGTCGGTTTTGGTTAGAATCTTGGGCCGTTTCTTCGCCTGAGAGCATGATCGTTAATGGATTCCCCCATTCATAGTCCACCATTGCCTCTACTTTAATTTGCCCCCACCAGCAGAATCAAATAAACAAAAACGACACCTTGAACGGCTCTGTGAGCATAAAATAAACAAAAGTAAAAATTATTTGCTAGATATCTGAAATCAAAAGAACTTTAGAAAGAGCAAGAGTGAGAAAAATCAGAGCTTTAAAGCGGAAAATTATGGTGAGTGAAAAAGCTGCAAAAGACTTTAGCTTTCTGTTGTCCGTGTGAGTTGCTTTATGGCAAAGCAACGAGTTCCTTTTCGAGTTTAAACTTTTGCGTGAGTTTGAGGATCGTGTCGGGTTTAAGGGTTCTTGTAGCATTTGCAAGAAATTGAGAGAAAAGAAAATGAAAGATAGAGAGAGAAAGCACCTTGTGGCAGTTTGGACAGAGAGACTGTATGTTTAATGAAAACCCTACAGGTGAAGTATTAATAGTCGCTACGTTTCACCATTTTTACAAGGATCACCACTTGACTCACCATTTCTCTCTCTCTAAAATACCATTTCTCTCTCAATAATTCTCTCTCTTTCTTATCTCTAACAGAGAGTAGAGAGAGAAAGACTGGGTTTCTCTTTCTAGGTTATAGGAGATATGAAGAACTCAGAACTGCTGACCTATGACTATGAGGCGGCTTAGCTCAGAGATAGCCTAAACATTTGGACTTGAATGAAATTACTGTTTTACCCTACTCTGAGTTAGAATATTGCACTACAGCCACTCGTATAAATTTAAGACCAAGGCACATTATTTCCTCTAATACTATACATCAGCATAGGTTTTTTTCCCCCAAAATTAATCAACATTTTTTTTCTCTATTTGTTTGAGTCTACACCTATGCTATAATGACTTCATTGTACGAGTATGGCTGTGTAGTGAACTAATTAAAAATATAAATTAATTAGGTAAATAATGTTTTTTTCATTAGTTATTTCAAATTTTTCTATGTATTGTGTTTGTACTTCGTCTCATGCGTAGAGTAGATAAAAAAGATTCAAGATTCGAGTGCACCCCGTGTAGGTTTGTAAAAGATTAGGTATTGCCCAAAAAATAAACAAATTTTAAAATCATTAAAATCATTAGCTTAACATGAACGTTAAACTCGAATTTCTTGACTATTACTACTGTCTCATCCTGTGTGAACCCCGTGTGTGAGTCATATCAATCTCATAAGCCACATGTCACACTTTGTCCACGTCATATGAATAACTTAAACGATTCTGAAAATCTTTAAATGTATTGCTTAAAAAGGACGGATAAGATGAGGCTTCAAACCTGAGACGCCATAAAGGAATGGTTTCGCGCAGTGTCGGTGAACCTGCAAGCTAAGTTAAATAAGGGGAATTATCTTCTTTCTTCACCAAAGTTACAGTAGAACAATATGCCTATTTGCCTTGTAGAAATCTGAAGTCCCGTGCAACGAAAGAAAAAGCCATCGAACCACAAAAATGTGACTTCACGTTATTTTGTAGGAACAACAAAAATAACCTCTTGTCATATCATATGGCAGGAGCCCATTTTTACATAAGCTAATCTCATTAAAAAGTGAACTTGAATCAAAGAAGAACGAATTAATTGATTTCACCCAAGAAAATGAGAAAATAATATATGAATAGAAGATACTAAAACTTACCAATTGATTGGTGTCATGTGTCAAAGTGAGTGAAGATCTGAAATATCCTTAGCATAATTTTTGTGTATACGAAATCAAACGTAGCCAAATCTTTGTCCATTTTGTTTCTCTTGTATACTTATTTGGCAACTAACTTGACTATTGAAATGCAAACAAGGGATAAATCCCCTTTGAACAATTGCCTTTGCAAACTATCGGTGTGCATCTTTAGTGGCAAGGATACGTTAATAGTTCATATCTCAAAGCAATTTTGGTTAAGTCTAAAAAAATCTTTTAACTCTCTCTCTCTCTCTCTCTCTCTCTCTCTCTCTAAATGTGATTTTATATTGATCATATACTTATGAATATTGATTTCATAGTCTAAAAAAATGGGATAATTACATGGTACCATAATTTTTACTTGTTGTATCATTTATATCCCTAACTTTTTTTTATCAAGTTTTGATCCTCAATTTCTTATTAATTAGCACATCTCATTGTTGACCATAGTTTCTACCAAAATATTCTGTTTTGCATGCTTTGCAATTGGGGAAAAATAAATGTTGCACTTACGGTTTATTGTTTTCTTAATATGATGGACAAATACGTATTTTTACGCTTCCAATGGACTTTTTGGACGAAAATCATTACTAATAGATGAAATATATTGATTAATAAAATGTTGAAGATAAAAATTGAATGAAAAAAGGTTAATGACCCAAGTGCTATAATGAGCAAACCTTGAAGACCTTGAGTGCAAGTAAAATATGATACAACGAGTAAAAATTCTAGTGTGAATATAATTACTCTTAAAATCGAACAAACTAGTCAAGAAACATTAAAAATTTAATAAATTTTCAGTTAGCTTTATTAAATTATTCTACAACTTGTATTTGTGTTGATTCATCAATTATTTGCCAGTGGTCTTTTAAAAAAAAAAAAAGTCTTACTAATAATCTTTTAAAAATGTTAGAAAAAATGTTTATAGTAGTATTTTTTAATAAATTGATCTCGTCCAAATTAAAAATATTAAAGAGTATATCTTGATAAAAATTAAAACAAGGGAGAGTTGCAACCACGGTTCAAACCTTTTATTTTTTTGTAGACTTGATCCAAATATTTCATTTGTATCGCCCATAATACCAAGCCTTTCAAATAATCGCATTTGGAATCCAATCTAATGAAATCTGTTAGTTCATCTGTCAGTTGACCAAAAGTCAATAATTTGACTAATTCAAAAGGTTAAAATAGTAAATTCACATTTTCTATATTAAAACAATTAAAACAAAAAAAGAAAAATGAAATATCTCGTTGACTCACCCTGAAAACCAAAAATTAGGAACCACCCACGTCCTAGGCCACCATCACTCACGCCACCGTCTCTGCAATTAACAGTTAGCAACCTGCAATGTTCCAATTCAAAAGCAATTCTGCAGGGAAATTGGTGGCCTTTAAATCCTCCAATCTCGCACAAGTCAGAATCCACAATCACGACGATCGCACCATAAAAAAAAAAAGTGCCTGCCCAACCAGACTGTCCAAATGAGTGTCATTTGGTCCCCAGAATGTAACCACAATAATTTTCAAGCACACTACTAGAACCCGTGCTCCTTTGTTATTCTCCGCCAAGACCTTAGCCATGTACATGACGGTGCCATCGGCGAAGCAACCCTGTTGGTACATCATGAAGCGTTTCACAAAGGGACGGTGGTGGTGGCGTGAGTGAAGGGAACATTGAAGCATAAATTACAAACAAAAGGGCGAGATAACCCCACTACAATAGCATTCACTAATTCAACTAATAGCATTTATTTGAACCCATTCAGTGCACCACTAATAGTGCCCAAGGGCCAAGTCAGCAACTACATATCTCCAATTCAACTCACTGCCCAACTTTAGTGCTCCACTAATAGCATCCATTTGAGCCAATTTCTCACCATTTACACAAACAGGAAGCAGAATACCGGAACAGAGAATAAAGACAATTATCAAAGTACAACATCGAAATATAAACTAAAAACAAAAGGGCAGTGGCGATGGCGGTGGCCGGGGACGTGGGTGGTTCCTAATTTTTGGTTTCCAGGTGAGTGGGTGGGTGTGGGGTGAGTGAAGAAAGTGAATGGCATTTCTTTTTTTCTTTTTTTTTTCGGTTTTAATTGTTTAATATAAAAGGGTAAATTTACTATTCTAACCTTTTGAAATTATTTAAAATTTTGGTCAAATTAGGACTTTTGGTCAACTAATAGATTTCGTGAGATTGGACTGCAAGTGAGAATTTTTGGTATCATGGGTGATACGAATAAAAGGTTTGGATCAAGTCTGTAATAAAATGAAAAGTTTGATACCGTGACCACAATTTTCCCTAAAAATTATATACTTTTTTTGATAGTTGAAGTAACATTTTCAAAATAGTTTAAAAGGACAAAATAAAAGATATTTATATTACTTTTTGTACAAAGAGAATATCTGACATGGAATTAACCTTTAGAGGAGGTTTATGTAATTTTAATAGGAGTTCCGCTACACAAACCGGGCCACATAGGCCATGTTAGTAAAATTAGCCTTATTTGTAAAAATTTGATTAAAATTCAAATCAAAGTAAGCGGTTAATTTTAATAGTACATTTAGTGGAATCACCTTTTTTCAACAACACATTTCATCAAATTTTATCAAAATTAACGAAAATTTTGGTTTTTATCCAACGAAATTCAAACATTGTCAATCGGCGCTCTCCACCATTTTCACGTGTTACGACCCTCGTCGTCCCTAGCCAATTGCAAATTCTGGTGTGACCAAATTTTACAAAATTTCATTGGGTTAAAGAAATTACAAAGCTACTGGTGTTGATTTCTCAATGTAAAATCCAATAAAGATGTGTACAGTGTAAAAGTTTCATGGTCTAATCTCCAGTTGGCAACATGACTACCCTCCAGCAACTACATCCACCTAAGTATCTCGATATGTTCGATTTATATTTTAAAATATAAAAATTTGAAAATGAAGATCGAGATCGAGATCTTAAAATTAAGATCTAGATTCGAACATATGGTCGGTGAGGAGTTGTTGGTCATTGCCATCATTGATGTCGGGGAAGGAATGTTTTTTTCACGACGATGACAACATGATGGTGGGATAGTCCAAAAATGAAGGCGACGATGCGGCTAGTTGCATTGGTGGAGGTAGTTCGATGATGTGAGTGGGTGGTAGCGGTGGCGGAGGTGACAAACGAGAGATGGTGAAAGTATACTATATTGTGTAAATTGCTTCGTAATCCAATCATGTTTTCAATAATATTTAAAGCCATTTTGGTACGTTTCAACATGGGGAATTATACAATACATTAATGGATAAACCTTTTTTTTTTTTTTTTCTCCGGTGAAAAAGTCGTAATGT